TACTGACATACACTAACATACACATAAACACCCATACTAAATGTAGTTGTTTTCTTTTTTGTTTTTGTTTTCGTCGCTAATATTTGTAACTTTTTGTCGCCGGCGGCATTTCTTTTTTGGGTAAATTGACTTTATGAGGCGTGAAATTTTGACGCCGCTTGATTACTCTAGCGACTGGCTGGCGAGCGAGCAAAACCATCTAAAGTTGATGGACATAAATTTACATAAAAACAAATTGTTTAGCTAGAATTCCATTCATAATTGCATGAAAGGGTCAAATTCATTACCAGCTTGACGTATTGATTGATGAAATGCCAATGTGTGTGGCATTTTAATATTAACGAAAAATATGTTAATATGTATTAGAGGTGAGTACGCTATGACCTCAAGTCGTCTGGGAATTAGCAAAGGTATTCCAATAGTTTGCTTGAAGACATTTCTATTTGTATGAATAAGTTTGGCTGCGTTAGTACGACGTGTATGGAAAGTCCAATACATTTACCCGCGCATCATAATTCTACATTGTGAGTGCCTTATTTGAGCGCAGTGTCAGGTGGCAACACATTTCCCCAACTGGAGTCCCTTTAACATAGGGAAAAGAAAGAATAAGCAGGGCATCAACCTGTCTAGCTTCGACATCCCTGCTAGACCCTAGAAAGAGGTTAATTGATTCCTCCTAATTCACATCGCGATAGCTTCTGCAGAGGGACCCACCGGCATTCGCCATCGTTGAAGCATTGGCACAATAGCATAGTGCACTAAAATAATGCCTGTAAAAAACACTTACTGTTCTGTTCTGTTAAGTTTCCGAAGGCCATCCGTCTTTTTCAGGCTTAACCCCGACCATAATGGCCTTGAGTCCACACAATCATCTCATCAACCTGTGGCGGCCATGTTGTTTTGCTCACGTCTGTCTAGCATGTTGTTTATCACTCAGATACAGCTGCCAAATTGCCATCGCTAATTTGGGAATTTACTCGCATGAGCGATGCAGATTTTACAGGATGGATACGAGACTGCACAGCACATCTTAGAAGAATGTCCTGCACTGATCAACAAACGCAAAAGGCACCTGGGTGAACAACTGATAACCAAAGGCGAAGTTAAGTCCGTAGATTTAGGTTCCATACTAAAATTTCTCTATGAAGGGGCACAAAAGATCTTAAGGTCGCAGTGCTTTATCCCCAACAGTAATAATAATATCGACCGTATCGCTACGCTATTAAGCTTATTTGGGTACCCGCGTCACAGCGAAATCGCTAGAAACTGAATGGCCGATGAGCTGGAAAGGCAGGAAGCCCTTGAGAAAGAGCTCCCGAGTAGAGAAAGTCTGGGTGCTCGCCTGACCTCGTGTGATCTACTTCTTGACAGATGAGAAGTCTTGAGTGTCATCGATCTGGAACCATGTGTTGCGCCTACGACTGGGGACAACCAATTAAAAAAACTTAACTCAACCCAAAATTTAAGTGAAAATAATTAAATAAAATCTCGTATCAAACAAGTGCATTTATCAAATCCTAAAAACGAGTATCTCCAGATGATAAATGGATGCAATGCTTTAATTAGCTAGCCACAAAACAAAAAACTGTTTAACATATCAAGCAGTAAACGCCTTAAATTTCATGTTGTATGTCCACAAAAGTAGGCGAAAACAGTGCCAATTAAAAACCAGAAATCACAAAAAATTTAAATAAACCAAATTATGAAAAACTTAAATGAAACTATTAAGCCAAGTTGATAGCAACTTCCCATGGATCGCATGTACATATGGATGTATGTATGTCCATTAGGGCGGAGTAATTTAATTTCGAAAAAAGTGTATCGCTTCTAACAAACAACAAACTTGACGTTTGCGGCTCCCAATTTCTAAAAGAAAAATCAATTCATTATACTTTTTTCTGAACGAAATTAATTTTTCCTTTACAAAATTTTTGTGTTTTCTTCATACAGTATACTGCTTTTTATTTGAAACACCATTTTTGCTTAGAAATAATCGTAGAATCTAAATTTGCTTTCCATTTTCTTCAAAAATTTTTTGCTCCCCACAAATTACTCCGTCCTAATGTCCATATGTACTTGTATAAGTTGGTTAAAAAGTGCGTGAATAACAAGTTGCTGACGCGCATGCGTAGACGCTTGTTTGTATCGACGCCAGTCATCAATTTACATCGCAAATTAATAGCTGTGACTGTGGATGGCGGATAAGAGTCAGATAGCAGTTAGCTGTAGCGAGGCGACATCGACCGCCATCGACAAGCAGCATTTAAGACTAGATACTCGTGCATTTATTGAGGTTAGTCGCAGACAGAATGGCGCCGTCGCCACACCCCTTTGGTTTGATGCCAGTCGGTGCGATGCGCAAGCACTTAAATCTGTTTGGCGTATATTCGCCAGCCTAATTGGAAGCACAGCGCTTGCATACAAAATCCAATGCACTAGTCGAAAAGATATTTAAAGTCAAATGCCAAATTCTTCGTTGGAAAATGAGAAAAAAATTGTGTGTTTATGGATGTTTGTAGTGATATGAAACTAAGGTGAAAAAAACCAGAAAGAAATCATTTGAGCCACTTTGAATATTTCCAGCGAAAGTGCAATAAAATCTTAGCTAACAAAAAGAAAAAAAATCAATAAATATATGACATCGAAAAATTGGAGGAGAAGCGCATTAAGGCGCTAGAAAAACCGGTGGTTGTGTTGTTATTGAAATTTCGGCAGTTAATGATTTCAGATTTAGAGATATATGAACTGACAGTGCATTAAAGGCTTTTTGGCTTTTCGAGATCTATGCACAAACTTCGTACGGTTGTAAGGGCATTGTTTAAGAAAAACTAAAAAGTTGACAATTTTAAATCCATATGCATAAGACAATTGCATAACAAAAACGAAAGTAAATCTTTTTAGGGAATGGCAGGTGTTTTTAGTCAAATCGAAACCGAAGACAAGTCCAAGTTTGAATAGGAGCGAAAGCTGTAAATAATCGGCAGAAAGCTGTGCACTTCGAATGACTTTTCACTAGCAGCTGTTATCTACAATGTGAAATGCAAATCAACACATTTACAGAGCAATTCTTTTAGCATTAGGGTTTTCTTTTAATTAAATTTAAAAAAAAAAATAAATTTTTTTAAAACATTAAAATTCAAAGGAAAATTAAAATTAAACAAGCGAAATTAACAAAGCGAAACGGGCGAAACCGAACTTTATATACCCGGCGCAGGTATCAAATATCGTCGTTTCAACTTTGCCTGAACTACCCTCGCATGATAAGTAGGAATGTTTACCCGATTTCAAACGTTTCCGATAATATGCAGAGTTAGACCTAATGAACGTACTTAAATTATGAAGGCAACACTTTTCCACGCTACTGAATGGTAGCAGCACGGAAAGTTGTGGAGAAGAAGAACCCGAGCCCCCAGTCAATGATGACGGAGTCGATGTCCCTCCGCCTGAACGAGGTACGAATAGCAATGACGCGGCTGAAAAACAACAAAGCTGCTGGAGCTGACAGCCTGCCAGCTGAGCTATTCAAGTACGGTGGGGAGGAGTTCATAAGGTGCATGCATCAACTCTTGTGCAGAATATGGTCCGATGAACGCATGCCCGACAACTGGAATTCAAGTGTGTTCTGCCCAATCCACAAGAAAGGTGACAACGCCATTCGCGCCAACTACCGCGGGATCAGCCTTCTAAGCATATGTTACCAGGTCTTATCGAGCGTATTGTGTGAAAGACTGAAACCCACCATCAATGGACTGATTGGGCCTTATCAGTGTGGTTTTAGACCTGGCAAATCCACCATAGACCAGGTATTCACACAATGCCATATCAACGCCACGAGCAAAGGATCGACACTCACCACCTATTTGTCGACTTTAAAGCCGCTTTCGACAGCACGAAGAGAAGTTGCCTTTATGCCACTATGTCTGAATTTGGCATCCCCGCCAAACGGATATGGTCTCTCGAGTCGTTCGCCACCAAACGGGGCTTCAGACAGGGCGACTCTCTTTCATGTGACTTCTTTAATCTGATGTTGGAGAAGATAATAAGAGCTGCAGAACTGAACCGCTCAGGAACAATTTACTACAAGAGCGTGCAATTGCTGGCTTATGCCGATGACATCGACATCATCGGTAACAAAAACCGCGAAGTCTGTTCTGCCTTTTTCAAGTTGGATAAGGAAACAAAGCGAATTGGTCTGGTGGTAAACGAGGACAAGACGAAGTATCTCCTGTCATCAAAGAAACAGTCAGCACATTCGCGCCTTGGCACCCACGTCACTGTTCACAGTTATAATTTCGAGAAAGTAGAGAATTTCGTTTACTTGGGAACCAGCATTAACACCGATAATAATGTCAGCATGGAAATCCAACGCATAGTCACTCTTGCCAACAAGTGCTACTTTGGACTGAGTAGGCAAGTCAGGAGTAAAGTCCTCCCTCGACGTACGAAAACAACACTCTATAAGTCACTCAGCATGCCTGTGCTGGTATATGGCGCAGAAGCATGGAAAATGACAACATCCGATGAGGCGGCTCTTGGAGTATTCGAGAGAAAGATTTTGCGGAAGATTTAAGGGCCTTTACGCGTTAGCGACGGCGAGTACCGCAAACGATGGAACGATGAGCTGTATGAACTTTACAACGACATGGACATAGTGCAGCGAATTAAAATACAGCGGATCCGCTGCCTTGGTCATGGCGTTCGAATGGACACCGGCGCTCCAGCTCTGAAAGTATTCAACTCGGAAGCCGCTGGTAGTAGCAGAGAAAGAGGAGGGCCTCCAACCATGTCGAGCACAAACGACCATATGCGGTTCTATTTAAAGAAATTGATCATATTATACGTAAAATTATGAACAGCCCGATGGGGGCAATTTCCAGTTGTATCCCAGTTGTATCTCCTTCTAAAAAACATCGTACACCCGCGAATACTTTTAATAGGAAACTTTTTAAACTAATTTTAACTACAAGACACTACAGCGAATATACAAAACCACCACTTACCTTCTCGCCTTGTTTCCGCGACTCTTGAGCTGCTTGATGCCCGCAACACCTTCATCTTCGCTTAGCGCTCTCTCCACTTGCTCCAATTGACTACTTAGCGTGGTCGGCGAGAGCGAGTCCAGTTGCGGTAGATCCGTATGACGACGCATTTCTTCACGCAGTCGTCGCTGCTGAGCGCGACTAAAGCGTTGTTGCTGACTTCGCGCCGTACTATTGCTGGACGTTTGCTCAACAACTACGCCACTGCTACTACTATTCGCATTTTTACCACTAGCTGTGCTGGATGAAATACCGCTAAGATTCAGATTTACAGGCTCAAAGTACAACTTGTCTGGGGAGTAGCCGAGGCTATTAACTACCATGAGACTATCGTCATCGCCTGTTGCGGTGGCGTTGTTGGGCGAGCGTATACTACTACATGGGCCGGATGACAGGTTTGGTGGTGGTGGTGGTGGTGATGGCAATGTGGATTGATGATATTCGAGTGGATAATAATGAGCCGAACGATGAGCGGCGCTTGATGATTCAGATGATTCGCAATGAACTGGACACTTCTTCATAATCGGATATGTATTCGAATCGGCGGCATTGGCATGACAGGCTGACTTCTGTTGATGTGACGCTTGTTTGCCGTTGCGCGCCGTGCCATGTAGGCGTGGCGGTAGGGAGGACGCCTTCTCTGTGCCATTCATTGTGCGGCTATAGTCTGCGCGATATTTTGAGCGTGGCGAGAGTACATCGTGTGCGCGTCGCTCGTTTGAATCTTCGCTGGTGTCGCCGTTTAGCTCCTCCTCATCGCTTGCACTGCGCATGATAGCAGTGACCGCTGTGGCTACGGCTGCGGCTGCGGCTTTGGTTTTACCCAAGTCCTTGCGCTTCTTGGAGCCGGACTTTTGACTGTTCGGTGTACGTGACTTGTGCGCGCGTTTCGAGCGGTCATACGGTGCTTTTGTTGGGTCACCAGTCACTGAAACAACTTTCGCTTCATTCTCCATATTGTGTCCACCCAAGTTGCTGGACAATGAATTCGCGACGAAAGCAGTCAGACAATTTGAGATCTCTGTAAAATCGTTACTATTTTTTCTATTACTATTTCTACTGATGCTGCGTTGGCGGCTATGTTCTTTACTGCTATTGCTGCGCTTGTTGTGAGCGCTTCGACTTTCGTCGTCGTTTGATGGTGGCGATGATGAGTCCTCGTCGTTGGTTGTGCTCGTACCAATATCCAGCCCCTTCTCCTTGCATATTATGTCATAGAGCGCGCTGATCGGTCGACTCTCGCTGCGCACGCGCACTGCGCGTTTTTTACCAGCGAAGCGATTTGTGTGACGACTGCGACCGGAAGCCGAAGCAGAAGCCGAGGCGGATGCTGATGCTGATGCCGATGCCGACGCCGATGTATTGCCTGCCGATGTGGGGGACGTTATGGGTATGTTATTGTTGCTATTGTGTTGTGTTTTATATGTATCTATCGTGTTGTCTAATTGATTATTATTATCATTATTACTTTTACTACATTCACTACTTTGTGTATCAACAACAAAACTAGTACTACCACTGATCGTATCGTATGGTGTGTATGATTGTTCGTTATCGTTAAATTCACCTTTCTTTGCAGGGCGCCCAAATACTGGCGACGACTTTACAGAAGTTTCGCAGTTTCTTCTTTCGCCACTGTTGACGCTGCTGCCCGCAGAGCCGCCACGAAAAAAAGCTGCACGTGCAACAGATGCGTTACTGCTTTTGGTTTGGCTGCTGATCGCGCTATCCGGCGAGAAAATGCGTTCACGATCCCGCTTAGCAACTGATGTGGGCGATGTAGTATTGGCTCTGCCAATAGATGCTGTACCTGTCCCAATTGGGGGTGGCACTACTGTAGCGGTGCTGGTCTTCGGAAAGTAATGCTCATTGACCAATTGTGATGGTGTACTATAGACACTTTGGTAATTCTCATTTAAGGCGGCAACATCATTAGCCTTTGGGGTGTGAATGTGTAGATTGACATCAGTATAGTAGGCGGGTGTGGTGTGGTGATGAAAATGGGGATGTACACCCTGATAACGTGTGTGGGTTTTAGTTCCAGTTTGTTGTTGTGATTGTTGTTTAGACGATACTCGTTGTTGTTGTAGATGTTTTGATTTATCGTATATCGAAGTTTGCTGGCAGCTCGATTTGGCAGTGGCTGATGCGGAGGATAGACTACAATTTGAGGATACGTTCTCGTTATTGGTATTAATATTATGACTATGTGTAGTGTCGACGGATTCTGGAAGAAGAAGAATGAAATAAAAAGTTAGAGAAAACTTGGTTTCTATACTTTTAAATATGAAAATTAAATTTGAAATGAGTATAAGTATGAGTCAGAGTATAGGTATGAATATAAGTACCACTTCAAACGAGTGATAATTTGTGATGGGTAATGTAAAAATAAGTTGATGAGTATTAGTAAGATTATCACTATAAGTATAAGTATGAGTATCTAAGTATGCGTAGTAGTATGAGAGTATATTTTTAATAGTATGATGAGCACAAGTTTGTATATGAATATTAGTATGAATATTTAATTATGGGTATAAGCATGTCTCAGTATGGATATGAGTGTCAATTCACATACAAGTACAAATATAGTAAGGGCATAAATAAGTACTTAAGAATTCAGCATTGGCATGAGTGTGAATGAGCATGGTTATGAATATGTACATATATGTGTAAGTATGAGTATGGGCATGAGTATCACTTCAATTACGACTACAAGCACATATGAGTATGTACATAGTGTGTGTGGAAGTGAAAGTAAGAAGATGAGTGGGATACGTATATGGTAATACGAGTATGAACCTTAATATACGAATACGAAAATAGGTTTGAGTATGAGTAGGACTAAAAGTATGAGTATGAACATGAGTACTAGTTAAAGTAATAGTATGAGTATGAGTAAAACTAAGAGTATGAGTATGAATAAGAGCGTGGACATGAGTAAAAGTAAGAGTATGAGCATGAGTATTGGTATGAGTATCTGCGAGTATGAGTATGGATAAGGACTTATTCTAATTTCACCTACTCATTTTCAAATACCCATTCTAGATTATCACACCTAAAAGGAAATACACCCTTCTCAAGAGTTTGCGCATTTCAGCTAAATGAGGTGCACGGGGCTTTGCAATAGTGTTTGCTCCAAAATCATGAAATTTAGTTATTCGTAGCTCAAAAATCTAAAGATTTTAGTTCCAAATGTTCACATATAAGCACATTTAGCAATTCAAAAAACTAAGCTTACAAACTATCGTCGTAAGCAGTGGCGACCATGCGCAACCAACCAATGTTGCATACTTTTAAGCGTACTATTTGTTGGCGTATGCTGTTGCAGCAACCAGGCGAATGCTTCAACAGATTTCATGCGGAATGATAAAACAGCGAGTATAAAAATATTCTTTTAACTATCGGAATATTTATGAGCGCCACTGCATACATTTACATGCGAGTATAGCACAGAAGGATTCTACGTGTAATTCTAAGCAAATTTTCCGAAGGAACCATGGGTCTAAAATCAATTTGCGAGTTTACCAAATTGTGAAAATAAGTAGGCTGTAGTGTCGTAAAGAAGCGCTTAAATGTTGTATAAAAACACGCTATTTGGGTATGAGGAATGCATTTCTGCACTAATCTTTTTCTTGAAACTTCCACCACAGGGCGCAACTGCGAAATTCTCCCATTTGCTTCGAAACCTATTTTCGCAATTTGGCAACTAAATATTGAATTTAGACCATTGGTTTCTTCGGAAAATTTGCTTAAAATTACCCGTAGAATCCTCTTATTCTATACGCACACAGGCAAGAAAATTGACCCGCCCTAATGTGTATATATTTGCATAAATACATAAGCCACAGAGCAAACCACAAAAAAACAAGCCGATAATGCAATGAATTTCGCAAACACAAATTTGCAATTTCATAATGAAAGCCACAAATTTCATAATCGTAGCAAACCACAAAACAAAGGCACCATTTGTGGTTATCATATAGTACCTACATAAATGCAATCAAATTGCAACCACTTCTCTTGTCACCCTGCAGGTTGGGTTGCTGTGTTTGAAATGCAAAGAAAAAAAAAGCATAAACAAATTTTAAAACTTTGTGGTTATTTGCATAAATTTCCCACTTCTGACAATTTCGTAAATACGGATTATATGTACATAGGCACAATTTTGAATTTTAACACTTTCGATTAACCAATGATAACTAATACAAAAACAAAACTTTAATAAAATCACAAACTTAAAAACTAAAAAAAAAAATATTAAAAAAAAAAATATTTCAAAAATTTTTTAAATCTGATTTTGAAACGAACATATTTACATACATATGTTAGTCAATGCTTGTTGTGATCTAAATAGAATCTACAGGGTGCGTCGTTTTTATTCAGTTTGGATTAAATTGTATTTGGAGAGTTTTACACGTTGAATTTTAGGGCTAAATCTTTTTCTACCTTTTTCTATGTGTTCGGTCAATTAGACTCAAACCGGGTAAAAATATAAATTTGTAAAAAACACCGTTCCAGAAAATGTTTTCGTACTATATTTTTTTTAATCGTTTATATTTCCATTATAATTTTTGAATGGTAAACTATGTAGTTTTTTTTTAAGTATTAAGGGGTTTTAGTATGAACACTACTCACTTTTATAATTTCAGGTGCGAATTTTATTATGTACGTATGTATATCTGAGGTACACAAGCTTAGAAAATTCTGGGAGAACAAGTTAATGGTATATCTAGCCTTAAAAGAGCTAAACTGGTCACATGGAAGCTCAGATTTGCCAAGATTGCATGTGTTTATATACAAAAAAAAGTTTGATTGTACTAAAAAGTAGTGGGTAGGAACTGTGGCTAATGGTAATAATTTATTACCACCCCTGCCCATACTTTGAAGTGTCATCAAATTATAATTAAGAAAGTTTTATCACATGGCAGTTGAGAAGTTCATGTGCAAAAATTTCATGAACTAAATATAGGAAATTTTTGCGCATGCAATAGTGCGTAGCATGCAGTTAGGCGTCCAGTGTAAGCAGTCATGCGTAAACATAAGTCGCGAACTAATTAGTATACAATTGCACCCATAAACTTTCTAAGGTATTTAAGCCAACATTACCCTTGCTCCGTCAGCCCCCCCAAACATTTCCCAGCGAAATATTCACCCATATCTGAGAGAGTACTAAACCTAATTAGAGAGTTGGATATTGCCTTGCAGATACGTAAATTCCTACGTCTCTTACTATTTTGTAGCACGCATTCCATGGCCTTAAGGATTCTTAATAACATAATCGGATCGAGACGTTTTATCGACATTTGAATGTGGTATCAGAAAGGACAAGCCCTCAATTGTCTTAGTTAGGCCTTTACTTCTGGGATGGCCACCTAACCTAACTACTCGTTGTATAAAGTGTAATAAATCGAGACATGCTCCATACACGGGAGATAAAGCTTCAAGAACGTCTTGCTAAACTTATTTTGTACATATAATTAAAATTAACATCGGTAATTATATGCAAGGTATGGGCCCTAATTTTAAGTTGTACTTAGTACCTACATCTGTATGTATGTACAACCAATCTTAACATAGCAGCCTTACTTGTAATAAACATAATTTAAAAGAGGACATAAATACGAAAATTGTATGACACGCTGGGAATTAGATGAAAAACACGATGTTACAAGGTAAATGCAGCCTTACTACTATTTATGTATGTAGCATAAAAAGCATTGGAGCAATTAATTGCCACCTCAACACCGAGCGCTAAATACAAGCGGCTTAGTGGCAAAACAACAACGCCGGTGAGTAGAATAGTTAAAACACTCAATTTGCTTTAAGTCAGCCAGTCATTAAGGCCGCTTACACAAAAGAAACTAAACGAAAAGGAAAGAAAAACAACAACAACAACACTAACAACCGACAAGTGGGTGGTATGGTATAGTTATTTAGTTGGTTAATATGTTCGCTTAGAAAGGTTGTACACGCGGTGGTTTTTGTTGCTGTTTTTGCCACAATTATTTACGTATTTAGTTTGGCTTTTTTATTTAGTTTCATGTTCGTTTATTTACATACTTCTAGGTGAGAGCTAGTGAGTCAGGGTCGTGGGGATTAAATGAAATCTACTTGGCAAGCATTTAAATGCGCACCTGAGCTGCAACAGCCGGTGAAACCTTTGCCGGCGACAAATACGACAAACCATGAAATTGTGTCAAGGTGAGAGAGGTGCAATTTATTGTTTTTGTTGCTTTGCAATTTTCAGTGCGCTGCACTCTGGTGGGCAGCGTCAAATTAAATGCCATAAAAATGAGGAGGGCGGAGTAAACTAAATTAGATAAATATATGTACAAGTATATGTACGTATAGACACATTAAGAAACGTACACACATACAAGTATGTACCTACCTACATATGTACATACATATCAAAATAAGTATTCTGCGCTGAAGTGCTAATTGGCAACAATTGTGGCCAAAATCAGATTGGCAGGTGATAATTGTTCGACTTAGAAAATTATGCTAATTTGTATACTTATGTACTTTGGTGCATACATACATAAATATGTGTTAAATGAGGTGCTTATAAAATGGAAGTGCTTCTCCTTCTTTTTCTTTTTTGGCGCTGTAAACGGCTAAGCGATTTTGGCCGAACTCAATAAAGCACGCCAGTCGTTTTTCTTCTTTGCCAACTGACGCCAATTGGAAGTGCCAAGTGAAGCGAAGTCCTTCTCCACCTGGTCTTTCCATCGCACTGGGGACCTCGCTGTTTCTCTGATACCACCAACACGAGTTAAATGCTTTCAGAGCTGGAGAGTAAAAGTGTCTTTATAATGAAAAAACTTAGTTTATGGTATAAAGAGAAATGGAGTTCGTGAAATTTGCATAAAATTTAATTTTTTGAAAACTTTTGTTTGTGATTTGGCTAAAGTATTGATTTAAATACATATTATCAAAAATATCGCTCGTTTCAAATAATTAAAAATGTGTTTTTTTAAGAAGGTTAATGCATTTATGTTTCCTAGAAAATCCTCGAAAACCTCGAACCATTGATGCAAATATCGACTACGGGCATAAATTAAATATAGGCGTTAATTGCCAAAAAAATAATAATTAACCATTTATTTGAAGTGCTCCAGGTCCTTATTTTAATTAATTAATTTTTTTTAACTAAGTCGGAAGCAATACACGCTCGGGGGTTTTTCTCGATATCGAGGATGCTTTCAACAATGTCTATCCGAAGTA